TCATTGTTGTTTGGCGGGTCCGGGCTGGGGATTCGAACCCGCCACCTTAGGTGTACATGGCTGGCGCCTTAGCCGGTTGAGCTATAGGCGCCGAGCCCCCATTCCTTTTTAAATGTACGTTGTTCTCTGTTGTGAGGATGCATCAGCGTTTCTTCATCTAGTCCCCTAAGGATGGACATCTCAATTGTTTTCAGGCTTTGTCATATATTTTTTAAAAATCTTGTTTTTATAGCTAGCGGGTAAAAGTAAAGAGCTATGCAAAATGTGGCTTAAATGGATAATCCACAGTCCCAGACTATCCTGAGGAAAGTATCTTTTTGAAGCAATACTCTTCATCGCAAAAGATGAAAAGGTTTTATTTATTATTATTATTATTATTATTATTTTTTTTTTTTTGCAGCATTTGGCCAAGGCTGGGTTTGAACCCATCATCTCTGGTATGTGGGGAGCAACATACTCCTTTGAGCCACAGGCGCCGCCCCAGATGAAAAGGTTTTAAATGGACAGATAGTAGAATGTAATTATAAAAACATTGTTAACTTTTCAGTTGTTGACTCAAATAATAGAATAATTTATCTCCACTTAAGAGATTTCCAAGCAAAGCATCCTCTGTCATTTTCTTTTCTTTTTTTTCTTGAGACAGGGTCTCACTTTGTCACTGAGGAGGGCTGAATTCCTGGACTCAAGCCTCCAGAGTAGCTGGGATGATTGGTGTGCACCACTATGGTGGCTAAGTTGTTCATTGTTTAGAAAGGGGGTCTTGCTATGTTGCCCAAGCTGTTCTTGAACTTTTGACCTCAAGTAATCCTCCCACTTCAGCCTCTTGAATAGCTGGGATTGCAGGCATGAGCCACTGTGCTCCTGGCCTCTGCTGTTTTATTTTCTGTGTAACACACTAATTTGTGTTCACCTGCTGTCTTGATTTTGTCCATGTAGTGCCCCCCTGTTTAAAATGATCTCTCCATTTCCACCCCTCTGCTATTTCATATTCATGGAGGAAACTTTAATCTATCCTTCAAAGACTAGTTCAATATCCAGCTTCCTCGATAAATCTTTTGTGATTGTGAACTTACATCAGATAAGATGTATACAATCACCTTTGAACTATTAAGCAGCATGTTTTTGATACTTATTATCAATCTCTTCATGTATTCTTTTATCTGCATCTGTTCCTATTCATCTATACAACCACTTTTTAAAAAATCTAGATGTCTTCTAGAAGGCATGGGCACAAGGCAAGGTCTCTGCAGGTTCCTAATACAGTTGATGACATGAATATTTGTATTCATTACTGTGAGGCAGGTGCCTAAGCAGATAAAACCTTGAGTTCCATTTCTGTTCTGTGCTTCCCTGCGTCTGTAAATAAATAGTAGGCTTTATGTAATACATTGTTCTCTGTTGATCTCATTCCATATTCACTTCCTTTTTCCTACAGCATTGAGCATTCTTTGTTAATTCTTTATGATCTCTCACAGTGGATTCAGATTTCTCTTAAAATTGGAGATCAGGTTTTATAACCTTCAATATGCTTAGTTTAAAAATTTACTAATTCTTGTATACACATTACAGCTCAGAAATCATGCTCTGTAATTATTTCATTTCTTTATCAAATCATCCGTGAGGTAGATTTCTTAACCTTATTTTTCATCCAAGAAGATGAATCAGAGAGATTCTGTGATGTGCTGAGGCTTGACTTTAATGACTAAGCTTTTGAAGCTTTTCTATTGCTTTTTAAGTCAAAGCTAGAGTGACTGGATGAATAAAAAAAATCAAGTTCATTATTACTGATGAAGTGCCTAAGGGCCCCTTGTATTGCAAGTTCTATTACAGAGGAGGACAGTCAAGAAAAGCTACCTGGGTAATTTATGGTAACATGGAAACCAACGACCTTAGACAAATTTTTGAAAAATTTTATTTCATTCTTTAACACATTTTTCAGAAGGTAAAGAGCATTTCTTTTGCTGAAATTCCACTGCCTTCTCTTAGCCAACCAACTGAACCATTCAGTCTATTAACTAAACAAAAAACGACAGGAAACTTCATAAATATTTAAAGCTGCAGCTATGAATTAAACATCGGGATAAAGAACTGACTCCTTCATTAAGCGCAATGTTTAAATAAATAAATAAATAAGCTCATGACATACATTCTAGGTAAATCAAATGTTTGAATTAGTAATATTTCAGATTTCTCTAAACATTTACCTTGGGTAATGCTTTTAATAATTATATTGCATGTGTTTGGCTTATTAGACCAAAAGCCACCGATTTTAATGAAACATTTAGAATTAAAAAATAAATAGATGGTTAATATGTGGTTGGGTTAGCCAATTTGAAAACAAAGGGATTAGCAAAAATATCTGGTTAAAGCATGAGAAAAATGTGACAGATTTTAAATGGTTTTTAAAAGGCAGCTCAGTACAAATCACAGAAAATCCGGAGCACATGAAGCCAGCGTCCCTGTCACTTTGCTGTGTTTGATTTTGTGCCTTCCTCTGTAGGATGAGCCTTCCTTCGGTAGACTGTGACTGAGCACCTGGAGTGTGTCAGGTGTCGGGCGCAGCAAGGTTACAGAGGGGATTAAGACACGGCTCTACTCCGCATCAGCACTTACCTAGATTTCTTTCTGCTTACTGTGGTGGATGGAAAGTGGAGTAGAGCAGATGGTTACTGAGCTTAGGATTTAGAAGGTACTTGCACATCACTGGCTATGTGGCCATAATTAAGCCTTTTTACTAAACTTCAGTTTCCCCACCTAGAACATGCCATAGTAATTCTTTTTTTTTTTTTTTTTTTTGTAGAGACAAAGTCTCACTTTATTGCCCTTTTTAGAGTGCCGTGGTGTTGCACAGCTCACAGCAACCTCCAGCTCCCAGGCTTAGGCGATTCTCTTGCCTCAGCCACCCAAGTAGCTGGGACTAGAGGCGCCTGCCACAAAGCCCAGCTATTTTTTTGTTGCAGTTTGGCCAGGGCTGGGTTTGAACCTGCCACCCTCGGTATATGGGGCCGGTACCCAACCCACTGAGCCACAGGTGCCTCCCGCCGTAATAATTCTTAACCTGTTGGGACTTGTGCAGAATATAATGTGCAACTACTAATGAAATATGAATATTGTCCTTATTTTTTCTTGCCTTGCCATAATATATAGGAGAAAAGGAAACCTGCAAAATGGTGGAATTATTTAGAAAGCTCTATAAAAAAAGTGTAGCAATACGTAACACTTATTAAGTGTTATGTGTCATTTTGTCCTCAACACAACCACAGAAGCTGAGACGCACACAAGGTGACATAGGTACAATAGCTAAAGTGATGGGCAGGTGGGATTTCTCCATGCAGTCTAGCTCCACTTTATCTTATTTATTTATTTATTTGAGACAAAGTCTCACTATGTCACCCTCGGTAGAGTGCTGTGGCATCACAGCTCATAGCAACCTCAAACTCTTGGGCTTAAGCGATTCTCTTGCCTCAGCCTCCTAAATAGCTGGGACTACAGGTGCCCATCACAATGCCCGGCTATTTTGTGTTGTAGTTGTCATTGTTGTTTAGCAGGCCTGGACTGGGCTTGAGCCTGCTAGCCTCAGTGTATGTGGCTGGCACCCTACCCACTGAGCTACAGGTGCTGAGCCTAGCTCTACTTTCTTAACTCCTGTGCTCTAAGGTGGTAAGTCTCTCACCTTTTGGACACCAGGGACTTGTTTCATGGAAGACAGTTGTTCCAACTTTGGACTGGGCGGGAGGTGGTATTGGTTTCCAGATGGCTCAAGTGCATTACATCTCCACCTCAGATCATCAGGCATTAGATTCTCCTAAGGAATGTGCAGCCTAGATCCTTTATAGATACAGTTTATAGTAGAGTTCATGATCCTATGAGAATCATACGCTGCTGAAGGTTGGACAGGAGGCAGAGCTCAGGAAGTGATGTGAGTGATGGGGAGCGGCTGTAAATACAGATGAAGCCGGAGGCTCATGTCCTGCTCTACATCCCAGGTTCTAACAGCTCATCAACCAGTACTGGTCAATGGCCCCTTGTTTTGGGGGCCACAGCTGTACACCATGGAGACCATCCATACCACTGCTGAAAACTTACATAGCTCCATTTTAAATAACATCTATTGCTGTTTTATTTAATGTTCTCTAGGAAAAAAAATTATTATAAAAGTTGAGAAAGACATCTTTTCCAGTGGACTTGAAGGCTCTCCCGTGGAGTTGAGTTTGCTTAAAGGGAATTTGCTGCTCAATTATCAAAAATTCTACACTTAAGGAATTGCTCTAGGAGAGTGACTCTCAAACAGTTGGTCTCACAGCCCTTATGCTCTAAAAAATTATTGAGAACTCAAAAAGCTTGTGTATGTTGGGGGGGAGAGATGGGAGGTTATCTATGGCTATTTACCATATCAGAATTTAAAATTGAGAAATTAGAAAAATTAATCCATTTAAAGTTGTAATATTCTAGTTAACATTAAAACCTTTTAAAAATGGAAAATAACCATGTCTTCTAAAACAAGTGTGCAGTATGGTTTTAGTTTTAACAAGTCTCCAATGTCTGGCTTTAGTTGAGGTCGCTGTATTTTTATATTCACTTCTGCATTCATTCTGTTGCATTAGCACATGTCACATCTGGAAAAGTACACTGTACACCCATGAGAGACAAGAGTGTCTAAGGCAAAATAATGTCTTAGTACTAATTACTAAAATCATTTTAACCTCTTGTGGGATATTCCCACAGGCATGGGACCATGTCTAGACCATGTTTTGGGCATTATTTTCCTGGACCATGTTTTGGGCATTACTGTCCTGGATGTGTCTCTTCCCCTGGTGTTTGGACCATGAGTTGTTAATGATATGGTACAAAATCAGCAAAACAAAGGGAATGAAATGGAATCAGTGGAATCGGTTAATCAGCAATTTAATGAGCATGTTTAAGGGCAAACCCATGCTACTAGAGAATGATCATTGTTTCAGTAGGGAGTAGATGCAATGGGACTATAATTTGTATGAAATATGCTAGAGAAACTCATGTTTTGACCCTGTAGTTAATGTGTTTATGTTAAAAGAGACTGAATAGGTAGTAGATAATAGTTCAGAAAGGTAAAAAACATATGTACTAGTCCTAAATATCTCCTTAAGTCTCACCTCCCTCAGGGCAAAAGTAATAGTGCAGGTTGAACGTCCCTAATCTGAAAACCTCAATTGCTAAATGCTCCACAATCTGAAACTTTCTGAGTGCTGACGTGATGCCTCGAGTGGAAGATTTTACACATCAGCGCTTCACACTCATTTTATTTCATGCACAAAATCAGTGAAAATATTTTATAAAATTACCGTTAGGCTATGAATATATGAAACATGAATGATGGGTTAGTCTTGAGTCTCCTCCCTAAGATCTAGCTCATTATACATATATAAATAGTCCATAATAATTCAGAAAAAACATCTGAAATCTGAAATTTCTGGTCCCAAACATTTTGGATAAAGGATATTCATCCTGTAGTAGCAGCCACATAAAAGTTCTTGGGCAGTACTGGACCCTTAATCCTTACAGCAGCCTTCTTTATTATGTGGCTGCCTGCTCCTCCTCCTGCCTTTGTACAGAAAGTAAAGTTAGGTCATTGCCATCAGTCACACAGCTAGTGAGTGGCTAGATGACTGGTAGGCATCTGGCTCTGAAGTCCCTGCCTGCCCTTAGTTGCCACTTTGTCTTCTTCCCCTCCCCCAGTGCTATATGGCCTTTTTGTACCAATCTTGGGGGATTTTAGGTGACAATTAAAAGATAACTAATGTATGTGGGGGATGCTTGGCCCCTTCTCAGCACATCCTCATGGCAAGTAGTCCCCTTTCTCTTCCTCCTACTTGTATTGGTCACGTGATCTTCCTCCTCTTCCTTTACCTCCCTTCAGTGATGGTTTGTGCTTGACCTTTAACCCTCCTTGGTTCCTGAAGGTCAGGGACTTACAGGTTTCTTTTTCCTCTGCTCTCACTGTATCTCTTGTCCGCCGAGCCACTGGTATTGGTACTCTGAGCACACTGTCTGGTTCCACTGTCTTTCAGAGGTTAGATGCTGACTTTTGAACTCCCCACAGCTTTTGGGGTCATTGTCACGACAGGACTGCTCTTCAGTCTGGCTGGAGAAGTTCTACCATGCCTTGTAGTCGCTTATTCTGGGTATAACTTCTTTTCATGATCGTACTTTCTTCTTCTTGCATTACAAAAGGGGTTCAGCACTGTGAACCTTTACTACATTAATGGTATTTCTTTTAGAATTTCAGATTGCCAAAGGACAAAACAGGCACCACCAGGATTGGTGACCTCGCGCCCCAGGACATGAAGAAAGTATGCCGTTTAGCTCTCATTGAGTTGACCGCCCTCTATGATGTTTTGGGCGTTGAACTGAAACAACAGAAAGCTGTGAAAATCAAAATGAAAGGTAATTAGGAAATTAAAAACAAAAGTTGGATTTATTCCTAAAGTAGCAAGGATGGATGTGGCTTTTAAGCAGTATTCTTGGGGGCAGGCGAACAACTACACAATGAATCTAACATTTGAATACTTTCGAAATTCAGAATCTAAAACATTGGCTTCAGAAACTTTATAACTTGATAAAAATACATTGTGTTCTAGACTGTAAAAGCAAAGGCATAATCAAATAAATTAATTCTCATACAAGGAAATCTGAGTTGAGTAATCTTTTTTTGTTGTTTTTTTGTTTGAGACAATCTTAAGCTGTCACCCTAGGTAAAGTGCAGTGGCTTTACAGCTCATAGCAACCTCCAACTCTTGGGCTCAAGCGATTCTCTTCCCTCAGCCTCATGAGTAGCTGAGACTACAGGCACCTGCCGCAATGCCCAGCTATTTTTTTGTTGTAGTTGTCATTGTTTTAGCTGGCCCCGGCTGGGTTTGAGCCCGCAAGCCTTGGTATATGTGGCTGGCACCCCACCCACTGAGCTATAGGCACTGCCTTGAGTTGAGGAATCTTAACTCATGTTGTGTCCTTTGAAAATTATGTATTAAAAAAATATATTTGGCACACATATTTATTTCCAAAATCTTTAAAAATGATATTAAGATGATCGATTCTGAATGATGACTGTTGCATAGTCACTGGATTGGAAATACACAGGATAATAGTCTGTACTCTTTGTTCACTGACATTCTAAATAGTTTGGGAAAAAAGACATTTTTTTTCCTCTATTAAGAAAATAATTCCTTTGTAACACACTCTACCACTAAGCTGTACTCATCCTGGAATGTGTAGTTTTCCTTTTGTAAGCAGTTTGCTTTAACCATTATGCGCACAATTTATTTTTTATAATATATTAGAGAACAGACAACACCTTAGTTTTTGTTTCTATAAGATATAATCAGCCCAGAAATCAGGTAACTCTATTGACAAAGCTGTTTAGGAATCTCTGTCCTCTAATTTAATCTTAATATTAAGATTAAATTAGAGGACAGAGATTCTCTTTTCCTGAAGAGAAACCAAGGAGGTTGATTATTGAGTTGCTATGGTAACATTGGCACAGACAAGTATTCACCTGATTTAGGTTTTAGAGGCAATTACTCTACAGGGCTGAAGTGTACCTTGCCCTCAGGTCCTCTATCATGCTGGGCCCCAGAAGACCTCATTCTGTGCTCAGCTCCTTTGAGTATTTTCACTGAAGGCCTAGGACAGTGAATTTTTGAGTTAAGTGGTGCTCTGGTTTTTCTCTCGTTCTTGAATAAATCCATTACAGATAATGAGGTCTTCTGGTGCTTTTCTAGAAGCTCATCGCAAAGCCTTCTCCAAATACAGCGTGTAAATATAACTTACATAATTGTGAGGCAATGTCCAAGATTTTTAAAGTGGCTTAGAGAGGTTTTGTTTTTAGTTTTGTGTTTTAGAATTATATCCTAGCAGAGAAATACTAAGTTGTTCACACGAAGAAACTGTCATTGTTAATAGAATTTCTTCCCATCTTTTTAAGAGGCGTGTGTCACGTCTAAGGTCTTTATCTTCTATTCCACACTAGACCTTTGGCATTCGGGAGGATTGCATCTTTCCTTAGCTCTCAAATGGAAAAGTTATTTACTGGATTATTGGCTTTCCTGTGAATGGCATCTTGATTAAGCCTCACAGTGTCCAATGTCTGTCCTTGTACCACAAAGTAATCCCCTTTTTCCATGTTCACAGATGACTTTTATTTCTCTGATGATGTGTGTCATAAAGGAAAGAAATGATCACTTTGGTGCTAACTAGCCTCTCGTGATGGGAGGGAGGTGCCAGTGGGAGCTGTGCTCCTACCAGGCTCAAGGCCTGTGATTTTCATTTAGAGAAATTATAGTTATTACTTGTTATTTCTTTTGGACTTATTCCTATATAAAACTACAAATTTAAATTCAAGAACACCAAGAATCAACTATATTTTCCAAAGAATAACATTTGTAGAACAAGGTCATAATATTGACTGACTTCTTAAAAAACAGGTATTTACATTTTACAGTACTGTAGACTGTTAAAGGTCAATTGACCATGGAGGAGATAAGTGATTATTTGCCATTAAGTCAGAACTTAATTGGATTATATTTAGCACAATTATTTGAGTATTTTGCCTCTTCTCACAGGGCTCTATTGGTTTTTTGTAGTCGTTTGTCCTTCTCTAATTATTTCGGTGATTATTTGCAATCATTCATTTAGTTGTCTCTGCCTGCCAAGTGCCCTATAAGGCAGGCCCAAGAATTTCCGACTGGCCTTTGTATATAATGGCTAGATTGTCACATGCACTTAGTAGATGTTCAATAAATAGTTGTCTGATTGAATGGCAATGTCAGAAATTTTATGCTTTAACATTTTTGTGTTAATATCTTACAGATTGACAGAAGTGAAGAAATTTTGTTTTCTTGTTGCAGATTCTGGTCTTTTCGGTGTTCCATTGACAGTATTGATAGAACAAGATCAGAGGAAAGTACCAGGAACTCGAATACCCCTGATCTTTCAAAAAGTGAGTAGGCTGGAACTGGTCAGCGTAGATAGAACATACTTGCCGGCCAGTGGTTTGTTGCGTTCACACTATTATCACGTAGTTTTCCAATTGATATGCTCTTTTATTTTGTACTTTGATTTTTCTATTCAGGAGGCACATTTGTTTCAAGGGCTCATAATTTTTATTTCACGGTGATGCTTTCTGTGTTATTACTGTAACTGTGATTACCTGGCATCATTTTCCTGTCTTATATTAGCTGGCTTTGTATAATTGAGATTTCAATTCTATAACACATAGGAGTGGGAACTGCTTATAAATTTCTAGGGACTTGAATCCTCATGAATATTTCATGCCTCTATGTATCTCCTAAGCTTTCCTATTTACAGTGAGGATGTCCAATTTAATTTACCAGTGCCTATTTTCAAAGTAGGCAAAGAAACCATAAAGTAGAATTAGAAAATGATTGCTAAACTATTAAGTCACTTGTGTAGTCAACACTCAATTATTCATAAGGGGATTATCTGTGGCAATATAAAAATTTCCATCCAACCTCTGAGCCATCATTGTTCAGCATCACAGATTACATTTGATAAGAGCTAGGGAATGCACAGGGAGGAAGTCAGGTCAGACTGGTTATGAACTAGCACTACCCAAGCTATAGATTCTTTGCAACAACCCAGGCTTATCATAGTTCTGGAAGTTTCTGGGGACAGCTGAAATTGATTTGCAGTTAACTAGCTCAGAAAACTCACCTAATACTAATATTCCATCTAGTTGTCAATTATTCTTTCCCTCTCCTAATGTCGTCATTTCTCTGTCTGACCAACTAAGTTTGGCGCCTTGATTCCCATCTCCACCATGACATTCAAACCCGTATCTCATTGTTCATCCTGGCAAACTTTGTTCTAAGTAGTTTATCCCACTCATCAGCCTCTGCTAGCCACGGCCAGTAGGACCTGTATCTCTGTGGAGAGTTGTCACAGTACCTGTGATTAACAGAAAGAGGCTACCCAATTTGGGCTGTATATTCAAATCCTTTTGTCAATAAAAGGCACAAGTTACTGTACACAGATGGCTATCCATAGAAAAGATCTCAGTAGCGTCCTTTCTACGTATATTCATCAAGGTTCTCCAGAGACACAGAGCAAATAAAATGTATGTAGAGAGGAGAGATTTATTTCAAAGAATTGGCTCACACATCTGTGGAGGCTGGCAAGTCAGAAATAGGTCGGGTTGCTGGCGGGCGGGAAACTTGGGCAAGAGTTGATGTCACAGTCTTGAGTCCAAAATCTGCAGGCTGGAAGTGAAGTCAGGGTTTATGTGTTGCAACCTTTAGGCAGAATTGCTGCTGCTTTGGCTAACCTCAATCTTTTATGCCTTCAACGGATTGGATGGGCCCCACCATGACATAAAGAATAATTTGCTTGTTTAAAATCTATTTATTTAAATGTTAATCACATCTTTAAAAATACTGTCACTGAGGCTCGGCGCCTATAGCTCAACCGGCTAAGGCACCAGCCACGTACACCTAAGGTGGCGGGTTCGAATCCCCAGTCCGGACCTGCCAAACAACAATGATGGCTGCAACCAAAAAATAGCCCTCAATCATTTCACTGATGGAGTTTTGGGGC